GAAAAATTAAAAACAAAACAAACTTTAGACCCTCCAAGTGCTTTCTCATTAAATGCAACAAGGAAATAACTCATTCAATTGGAAATCCATTTGAAAAGAAAAAAAATTATTGACTGTTAAAATTGTGCTATTATTGCATATATAATGTTAGCACAAGGACAGCAAGGAACAATTTGCATAAGAAATATTCCTATTCTTTTTTTCTAGTTAGCAAATAATTGAATAGCAACCATCAGTGAAGTAGGACAAAAGAGGGCTATTATCATAAATGTTAGTTTGATCTTTCAAGGAGATTTGATTACCTTCTACTCACACTCCACTTCCCCACTTGAATAGAGGTTCTGCTTTTCATCAGTCAAATGTCAAGTGCCTTTGTTGCATGCTAGCTGGCCATATTCCACATAAGGGCAAAAATCAGTTTTTCCACAGAATTTGTGAGAAACACAGCTCTCCAATTGCAAAACATGGATGAAAGACAGGCCTAAAAAAGGTCCTGATCCAAAAAATGGCTAAAGATGCCAAACTATATACTATCAGGGACACGGTCTTAGCATCATCTTTCCTCAGGAAAAGGTACATGTTCCTTTATGTGAAAAAATTCTTCATATTCCTGGGAACTCGACCAATTGTTTTCCTTCATTCTTCTTTCAGCCCAATATTAGATATAACCAAAGAGTTAAATTTATCTTAGAAACAAACTAGTAAAGCTATTATAGTTCAGGTAAAGATAGCATATATATATTTAGTAAATTTGGTGAGCCATTCATTTTGATCAGTGGCCTCAGGATTAATTTGGGAGAATCACTAAATTAATCCAGTTTTGCATGAGGAACGTTTATCCTCTAATTTCATGTGGATTAAGGCATTTACAAACTGATAAGGAGTTCTTAAAGAAAAAGGCGAATTTCTTATCACGCTCCAGGGGGAATAATGGTAGCACTCCCAGTGCTTCCCTCTCCTGTCTCCACAGGACAGGGAGCAGCAGTGGCTTTCCCAGCCCCAGGTAAGGAAGAAAGGAATTTCTCTGTGGATGATAACAGAGTGTCTCTGAGACATGGAGGAGAGCCATAAGGCCTCCTAATAAAAAGATTCTGGGCACAGTATAAGATCCTTATGAAGTTCCCGTATGCATTCAAACTATAATAACCAAAATTATGGGTTGCTATATAGAAATAATAGAGTAAATTATATTTTAAGGCAGTTTATTAAAATTCAGAACCACACAGTAGGAAACGAACTACGGTCTAGTACTGTTATGTAGCATTATTGGTGTAGCTGAATATTATTTCATTTAGTTCTCACAATAGCCCTGCAAAGTAGATAGTGTTTCTATATTTTACAGATAAGAAAACTGAGGTTAAGACACTAGCCCAGTTCTACCAAATAAATGGGGGAAACCCTACATCTGCTTGACTTCAAATCTACTCTTATGCAATGAATTTCAATTCTATGACAAAAAGTAAAAACAAAATAAATTACACAAACAAGATGTGTCCCAAAGTTAGAGAAGCTAACATTCCTTTAGTTGTAGAATAAGAAAATTAATTTTGTTGATGGTTTCCTTTGCTGTGCAAAAGCTTTTTATTTTGATGTAGTCCCATTTGTTTATTTTCTCTTTAGTTTCCATTGCCCTAGGAGCATTATCAGAGAAGAAATTTCTTCGGCATATGTTTGCGATTTCGCTGCCTGTGGATTCCTCTAGTATCTTTATGGTTTCCCGTCTTACGTTTAAGTCTTTTATCCATTTTGAGTTTATTTTTGTGTATGGTGTGAGTTGGTGATCTAGTTTCATCCTTTTGCATGTATCTGTCCAATTTTCCCAACACCATTTATTGAAAAGACTGTCTTGACTCCATTGTATGTTCTTGCCTCCTTTGTCGAATATTAATTGGGCATAGTGGTTTGGGTTGATTTCTGGGGTCTCTATTCTATTCCATTGATCTATATGTCTGTTCTTGTGCCAGTACCAAGCTGTTTTAAGAACAGTGGCTTTGTAATACAGTTTGATATCTGGTATTGAGATCCCACCTACTTTGTTCTTTCTGAGGATTATTGCAGCTATTCGGGGTCTTTTTTTATTCCAGATGAATTTTTGGAACGTTCGTTCTAGATCTGTGAAATATGCTGTTGGTAATTTAATGGGGATTGCATTGAATCTATAAATTGCTTTGGGTAGTATGGACATTTTGATGATGTTGATTCTACCAATCCATGAACACGGTATATTCTTCCATCTGTTTATGTCCTCCTCTATCTCTTTTTTCAGTGTCCTGTAGTTTTCAGCATATAAGTCTTTTACCTCCTTAGATAAGTTTATTCCTAGGTATTTTAATTTTTTTGGTGCAATGGTAAATGGGATTGCTTCTGTAGTTTCACTTTCTGCAAGAAGACCCACTACATGGGAGAACATATTTGCCAATGATACCACCGATAAGGGTTTAATTTCCAACATTTACAGGGATCTCATGAAACTTAACAAAAGGAAGATAAACAATCCAATAAAAAAATGGGCAACGGACCTAGATAGACACTTTTCGAAAGAGGACATACAGAAGGCCGAAAGACATATGAAAACCTGCTCAAAGTCACTAATTATACGAGAGATGCAAATCAAAACGACAATGCGTTATCATCTCACACCTGTCAGAATGGCTATCATCAACAAATCAACAAACAACAAGTGTTGGAGAGGATGTGGAGAAAAAGGAACCCTTCTGCACTGCTGGTGGGAATGCAGACTGGTGCAGCCACTATGGAAGACAGTATGGAGTTTCCTTAAAAAACTGAAAATGGAACTCCCATTTGACCCAGTGATCCCACTACTAGGAACATATCCCAAGAAACCAGAAACGCCAATCAGAAAGGATATATGCACCCCTATGTTCATAGCAGCACAATTCACCATAGCTAAGATTTGGAAACAGCCTAAGTGCCCATCAGCAGATGAGTGGATTAGAAAACTGTGGTACATATACACAATGGAATACTATGCTGCGGTAAAAAAAAAGGAACTCTTGCCTTTTGCAACAGCATGGATGGAACTGGAGAGCATTATGCTAAGTGAAATAAGCCAGTCAGAGAAAGATAAATACCACATGATCTCACTCATTTGTGGATTATAGAGAACAACATAGACTGATGAAAAGGGACAGACTCAAAGACTGAGAAACAGCAATCATGCTATCAATCCCCAGAAGGAAAGTAGGGGAGGGCGGGGGTAAGGGGAAGAGATCAACCGAAGGACTTGTATACATGTATATAAGCCATACCAATGGACATGGACAACAGGGGGATGGGAGCATGAGTGTGTGTGGGGGGGAGGTTGGGGGTTAATGGGAGGGATGAGGACACATTTGTAATACCTTAACTAATAAAAAAAAAAAAAAAATTCAACACATATAAAAAAAAAAAAAGAAAGAAAATTAATTTTATTATAACATTAAATTTATGGATGATGTATTGTGCTACAGCTACATTGATGTTTAGACTTTAAAATGGTTAAAGAAATACCAAAGAAATCTTCTAAAGGCTTAGAGTATATTACTTTTGTGATTTATGCTCCTATAGTCTTCTTTTTCTCCTTATATTCCTGCCTTACTTTTGAATTCTCCAAATCTAAGTAGTTTTTGCATGGTATTACTGAGATGATCTTCTGGAAATTACTTTCAATTGCTTTTCTCAAAAATGTCTCTTATTGGAAGATAAAACTGAAAAGCAGGAAAGAGTATTTTCCATTGTTCCCTAGGCAGGCCCAGCCTTCTTTCTGCTAATACATTCCACATTAAGTCCAGGCACTAGTTATTGACACTAGAATATGATTATACTATTATATGTATACTGTTATCTGACTTTTATAGCTCCCATTCTATTAATAATATGTTAAAGTTTTCTAGATCAACATATAAAGGACTTAGAGTCTCTGGGAGAAAATGTGATAAATTCACAGGCAATTGCAAAACCTTTTTACAGAAAATATTCATACCAGTCCCTTTGGTAGTGTTTTAAAAATCCAAATAAAGAAACTCTGTATTTTTCCTCTTTATTTTTACTTTCATAGAAAAATTTTTAACCTAATAAGAAACAACAGGATATCTCTTTCTGGTAGGCAAGAATAATAAGACTTCTTACATGTTATGCATTATCAGATAAAATATTTTTTTTCTTTTTTATTCCTCTACATGGCATTTAGATTTCACCATATCACAAAATAACCCTCTTTGAAAGAAGACTGAAATTACATTAAATATCTTTATCAATTTCTTTTTACATTTCAAACTCCCCTTTTTATTACTATTATCATAATGCACAGTCTTCTCTCCATATCCACAGGGATTGCTTCCTGGACCCCTGTGCTTACCAAAATTCATTGATGCTCAAGTGCCATATATAAAATGGGGTAATATTTGCATATAACCTATGCATATTCTCTTATATTTTGGAAATCCTTAAAAAATGCCCCTTCTTTTTAATTTTCTTATAAAAAAGTTTATATATTACCTAAACTATCTAGGCCCTAGTTCTTCTTAGTAAATAGCAACATGAACATAATAAACTGCTTAATAGAATTTCGAAAGTAAAAATGATTAAAAAGAAACCATAAGCTTTTCCTTCCTTCTTTGTAATTGTACTGGAGGCCCAGTGCACAAAATTTGTGCACTGGTAGGGCCCCTAGCGGCTGCCACCACTGGCTGGAGCCTCCCTCCCTTCCCCCAGCTGGCCCCGCCCCCTGGTCAATCTCCCAGACAATTCCCGGTTGAGGGGACAATTTGCATACTAGGCTTTTATTATATAGGATTTATTTAACTAATTTGAGTTTTCCTTGTAATAAACTACTTTGTGTTTATTTTTCATTACATCTGCTACCCAGTGAGTCCTGGTGAAAAGTCAATAATCAATAATAAGATGCTTCAGGAAGAAATTGATTAATGTTAAAAGTGTGACACTGACTTAGTTATTCCATTAACAAATGTTTAATATCTTTTATACCTGTATTTACTCACCTATAAGTCCTAAAATAATGTAGCCAGTAATGAACAGTATGAAGACCATGCAGCACAGAACATCTGTACAACCCCTAAAGACAAAAAAAAATTAGAATTAAAAGGGATCCAAGATGACTTCTTATTTACTGTACAAAATATAATGATATGCCATTTGATATCCAATAATTCTAAAAGATGGATCACATGTGTTTTCTGCAATTAAAGACTACAGCAGCAAGAAAGTGGTCATAATTCCATGATGAAAGAAACTCCCCCAGAATTTTTAGTATTTATTCTTTCTTGGTTTTTATTTGTAAAATGTTTTTAGGGATGAGAGTACACCAACACTGAGTAATAATGTTTTTATTTGAAATTGTAATTTACACTATTTAATTTTATGATTTTCATCTTCATGCCTCTCCAACACATGGTATATATATATATATATATATATATATATATATATATATATATCTCAACTATTTCCATTCCTCCCTTTATTTTCTTTCTATAGACATATTTTAAAGGTAATATTAATTAAATAAAGGACTAGCTACATAAACTTTCTAAGGGAAGTAGAGTTGTAACTTTCTAATGATCAAAACTATAATTTTCCCAGCTATCCTATAGGCTAGATATCATCAAATTAGGTTTAGAGAAAATGTGGCTCAGAGATGCAGTGATTTGCTAGGGATCACAAGTCAAGCCAACTTCCAGCAGGCATAGTCAAGGTTTTCAACTAAAGTATTTCCTATTCCCAATATTATAGCTTGTTCAGCTTCTGAGTGGTCTGGAAGGTAAAAACTATATCTTGAAAGTGAGAAATAATACAACCATTCTCTATTTGAAACAATGAAAAATCTATTAGCAAAGAAAAAAAAATCAACCCATTTGACAGGATTAAAAGTTGCCCATGAGAATTTTCATGACGAAAACTTAATCTTCAGGGCAAATGGATATGCTGTAATCATTTAGCACAGGCAGGTGGAAGTTACACACTGTTTGTACAGGTGGTAGCAGTAATAATAATGAATAATAATTGTGCAGTAACATATACAGTAATACCTTACATTGATAAAACCCTGTATACATTTACTGCTTTCATCGTAAATTTTCTAAGAATACCATCAGGTTGTTTGTGGTAGTAACGTGAGTTGACTTACCTAAGGTCCAAGAGAGATAGGTAGCTACAGAGGCAGGCAAATACCTGGGTCTCTAATGCCAAAACTTTTTCATTCAGTCTTTATGTTAATATGATTATAGTTTTCTTTAAAGATTCAAATTAGACATATCTAAAACTCCACACACATCACTCCTACCTCGCAATAGAGAAAGTTACCCATGACACAAACTATCATTTGTTTAAATCCAACCCAAGAAGAAAACAGAGTTCTGATTTTCTTTAGTTAACAACTGGTGAACGTAAAAATCTGTTCTTCTCATAAGCCAAGATTTGGAAGCAGCCCAAGTAGAAGAATAAAAACTGTGGAATACTACTACACAATAGAATACACTATTATACAATAGAATACTACTCTGCCATTAAAAAAAGAAATCTTACCCTTTGGTACAGCATGGATGGATCTGGAGAGCATTGGGCGAAGTGGAATAAGCCAATCAGAGAAAGACAAGTACCATATTATTTCACTCATATGTGGAATCTAATGAACAAAATGAACTAACAAGCAAAATAGAGACAGAACCATAGATAGCAGGCTGACAGCTGTTGGGAGGATCTAGAATGAGGGGTTGGTGGAGGGACAAAGGAAAAGAGAAAAAAATCAGGGGCACAGATAACACAGGTATGGTAAGGGGAAGGGAGATGGTGGGAGGTGGAAGAGGATATGGAGGGATAAATGGTGATAGATGGAGACTTGACTTGAGGTGGTGAACACACAATACAGAGTACCAATGATGTGTTGTAGACTTGTGCACCTGAAACTTGTATAATTTTGTTAAGCAGTGTCACCCCAATAAATTCAATAAAAAGGAAAAGGAAGCAAATGTCTGCATGGGGATGAGAAGAGTATCTCTCACTGTTCAAATGTGTTCTGACACATCCTACTCAAGATCAGGTTCTCATTCTGTCAGAGCAGTTGTTAAATAGCACGACACTTAATAAGAAATGCCTGCAGGTGAGGGACTAAAGGAGAGGAAACTGGAACACTTCAGTGCTTTAATTAGAAGTCTTCAAGTTGTCAAAGCCCTTGTGTGTAATCATAGCTACCAGGAAGAGGGAGAAAGGGAGGAGATCAGAAGCACCAGCCAGGATATATAGCTATATGTTGATATCTGTATATTTAAATAATATGTAATATTATCTGTAATGCATACTTATAATGACCTAGAGTTACATAGTAGTATAATGTTATATATGTGTAATGTTATGAATTAAGCACAGGGAGAAATAAACATATATACTAGGGAGGTAAATAAAAGAAACTGCCAACTTCAAAAGATAGAACACAAGGAAAGCAGCAGAGCTCGGAAGGAAATTTTTGAAAAGTAAAACCCATACTCCCCAGCTACTGGCACTGAGGAATGGGCATCAGCTGAAGTAATGGCTCTCTATGCGGTTTTATACTACATTTCTATTTCGTTTTGGTACCAAGGATGCACTACAGCACCAGGGACTGGGTGCCCATACACTCGTTCCTCCCAGCAGTCTCTCACAACGGTGGAACAGCATCTCTCAATAATTCACACCTTGAGGTGTTTGAGATTCTATTCTGGGACCCAGGAGGATAATATATTCAAGTCTGCTTTTCTCTTCTGGTACAACACTTTAGAAAAATAGCAGACCATACCCCAAGGCCAGACTGGTTTATTTTATTTTGTTTTATTTAAGCAAAGAAAAATGTTGAACAGAGTGAAATTATAAATTAAAAAATTCAAGAGTCTCAAAAAGCAGGCAAGTTTTTCTAGATAGATTAATGTATTTTTTTAATTTGTTCTTCTTATGATTTGATTCCCTTTGTTATTTTTAAAATTTCCTTTTAAAAATAGGTGTGTGTTTTCAGATAACGACAATTACCTGCCATTTTCTCTATTAATTCGTCTGTTTCTCCCCCTTTCTACAGACATTCCTTCCAGAAAAAAATACTACTTAGAAAACTGTATTTGAACAAAATATAAAATATAGCTTAGGTGCATTTGTGAGTCAGGAACATAGCAAAAGCTTAATTCAAGTTTTTAGAATTTGTAGCATCTTATCACTGTTCCTTTCTTTTGATTTCAGGGCATCTGTAACAACCCTATATGTTTTGCAAGAACTGAGTTATTTTTAAAAAGCAAGGATTTAATTTGGCTAAATTTTTAAGTCTCTCAAGACAGCTATTGAGGCAATTTGAGTGATACCAGCACCTGGTTGAAATCTTACTGAATCATATTCTGGCTAGAGGCTTGTCATTGCTGTGCCATTTCCTTGGGTAGATTCATTTATACTTTCATAGCAAGCACTAAGAACCATTGTTCCAAACTAAAAATGGGTTGCATACCACTGGGTCCCAGAAAGGATAACTTTGTAGAGAAATATGCCCCTAAGCCTCTTCCCCTCCCTCCCTCCGAATCAAAGTCCAATTTTTTTTAAAGCTATTCACACTCAAATTTATCAGGAAACTATTAAAACTTTATTCAGATTGAGCTACCCTGACATAAAAGTATTTTCAAAGTTAAACTACAGAAGTACCATTACTACCTTATATTTATTTTTCCAAACTACAATAAGAATAGGACCCCAATTATATATGCACTAGAGGCACGGTGCACGAATTCGTGCACTGGTGGGGTCCAGCTGGCCTGCCCCCAATCAGGGTGGGACTGGCCGGGGGGAGTTATTAGCGTCAAAAATCTTTGCAGGGTGTATACACATTTGCTGTTGGCTTTTGGATGAGTTGAAGCTTCAAAGGCGCATTAGAGTCAGGGACACTTACAGCTTCCGTTTCTAAGCCTCTCCCTAGGCAGGTAATGCAGTTTAGCTCCCTGCTGACAAACCCTCTAAGGAGAGGCCGTGGTGTGATGTGGCTGCCCTCTTTGGTAGGAAGCAGTGGAGAGAGAATGCAGGAGATGGTGGTTGTGCTGGGCACCTCTCCTGGACACCTGACTGATGTTCCAGACCATGAGCAGTTTTCCTCCTGATCACTCATCATCCAGGTTCCTGGAATATGAAGGCTGGGGAGCATTTACTTACTTAGAGTCACTGAAGGTCACACTTCAGTGATTGGGGTGGGGGAGAGGGCGGTCAGGAATGGGGATGCCAGGGGGAGGGGCCATGGGCAGTTGACTGGCCAGCCCCGCCCCCAATTGGGCCTGTTGGCTGCCTTAGTGTACATTATAGCCACCAGTCTTTCTGATCGTTCTGGTTGTTCCACTGTTCAGTTGCTTGGCTTTTATATATATAGATTTGTACACCTCCCTTCCCCATTTCACTCTAACCCACAAATATAGAATGCCTATAGTCACCTCAACATAAAATCTTGGGAGCTTCCTTTGACTTTCCCTTTTTATTAGATTCTCTTTCATATTCAATTGACAAGTACTCTTGGCTCCTTCTCTCCGATGTGTCTTCCTTTCTATTCTTACAGCATGGGCTCAGTCCAGATCCTCTTATCTCCTCTTCAAACTACTGCCATGGTCTCTGAATTGGGCTCTAGCATGGAGCCTCTACCTAAAACATAGCATTCTGCACATCACAGATAGCCCTGATTTATGATATCACTTCATTGTTTAAAAACTGCTGTGCCTCTCTACCACCTATTGAAAAATTTCCAAATGTCTTAGCTTTATGTTTAAGAACCTACAAATTCAATCCTATGGCAAGTGCCAGACTATCTTCCTAGCTTCATCTCCCTCTATTCTTCTCAATGTACTTCAACCTACTTGGACTTTTTATTCATTGAGTACACCATGAATTCTCCCTTGACCACACTCAGGGTTCTCTACTCATGGCCCCTTTAGACTCTTCCTCTGGAATAACCATATGTCTCAGTTTCTATGGAACAACCAGGGTTTACAGTTTTTCCTGATGTAACCATTAACAATGAGCCCTTTGACTCTCAAAAGTGCCCCAGTGTGGATCTTCACCCTATCTCAGTGATGGCGAACCTATGACACGCGTGTCAGAGGTGACACGCGAACTCATTTTTTTGGTTGATTTTTCTTAGTTAAATGGCATTTAAATATATAAAATAAATATCAAAAATATAAGTCTTTGTTTTACTATGGTTGCAGATATCAAAAAATTTCTATATGTGACACGGCACCAGAGTTGTTAGGGTTTTTCAAAATGCTGACACGCCGAGCTCAAAAGGTTCGCCATCACTGCACTATCTACTAAAATCCCATTCTCCATATGGTAAGATTCCCTCAATTTTTAGGGCCGATTGATGTTCCATGGTATGTATATGCCACATTTTTTAACACATTCATCAATGGACATTTAGGCTGTTTCCACATTTTGGCTACTACGAATAATGCTTCAAGGAAGGTGGCAGTGCAGACATCTGTTTGAGATCTTGATTTCAATTATTTTGCATGTGACAACAAGGTTAAACCTGGAGGACACTGTGCTAAGGGAAATAAGCCAATCATAGCAGGACAAATACTGCATGATTCTGCTTCAATGAGATTTCTAAAATAGTCAAGCTCATAGAAATAGAAAGTGGAATGGGAGAGGAGCAAATGGGAGCTACTAGTCAATGTGTATAAGTTTCAATTATACAAGCCAGACCAGTAAGTTCTAGATATCTGCAATACAACATTGTGTCTATACTTAACAATACTGTATTGAGTGCTTAAAATTTTGTTAAGAGGGTAGGTCTCATGTTAAGTATTTCTTACCACAATAAAAAAAATACACACAGCATGCAAAATATAATAATCTGTTCAATGTTATATGTCACATGGATTTAAAATTTTGCTATGAACAAGCTTAATGTAGATATCAAATAAGTGAATGTAAATGAAAGACAAATTTTAAAATAAAAAATTTATGATTCCATCCTTCAAACCAATTCAAATGATACCTCCCTCATGAGGTTTCCAACTAAAAGAGATCTCTCTCATCTATTCAGACTTACAGGAATTGTATTTGTACATATTTAAGGCAATTATCTTCAATCTATTATAACCTGGACCAGTGGGTGGCACACTATAGCCCATGGGCCAAATCTGGCCTGCTGCCTGATTTTGAACAGCTTGAGAGCTAAAAATGAATTTTACATTTTAAGAAAACAAAAGAAGAATATTTTTTGAATTATACAAAATTCAAATTTCAGTGTCCATAAATAAGAATTTTTGGAAAATAGCCACACTCATTCATGTATATATTGTGTGTGGCCACTTTTGTGCTACAACAGCTATTTTGAGCAGTTGCAATACAAACCATATGGCCACAAAGCCTAAAATGTTTACTACCTGGGCCTTTATAGAAAAAGTTTGCTGACCTCTAACCTAGACCACATAGTCCTCTATGGCAGCATTCAGCACAGATCCTTAGATGCTGCAGACAAAAGCAATCTATGTCCCATGAATGATTAGGAAGACACATTTCCAACTGATAGGCTAGTGCATCATAAACAGACTCTGCTAAAATTCAGTGCTGTGTTTCAAATTTCAGATTTTGCAGGGAGAGGGGCCCTATATGATGAAATTTTTGTCTAGGAATTCAATTTTTTGGTGGAGCTTAAGCATGCCATCTGGACATTACTGTCTCTAGTGAAATCACAAAAGAGAAAGAGGAAGGAGGAAGGAAGGGAGGGAGGAAGGGCGGGAGGGAGGGAGGAAGGAAGGAAGGAAGGAAGGAAGGAAGGAAGGAAGGAAGGAAGGAAGGAAGGGAAGGTAGGAAGAAAGGGAAGAGAGAAAGAAAGAAAGAAAGAAAGAAAGAAAGAAAGAAAGAAAGAAAGAAAGAAAGAAAGAAAGAAAGAAGAAGAAAGAAAGGAAGGAAGGAAGGAAGGAAGGAAGAATAGGTATGAAGAACATGTTACGTAGGAAGGCAGGCATTAGTCATTACCTTGACGCAGCATTTCCTCATAGCAACAAGAAATCAAGAAAGCCACCGCAAACTACACCAAAGAGAAAACGAACTAAGAAAAAAGCACCACAGACATAAGGTCCGTGAATAATTCCCCCGTTTCCAAATCACACTAAAACACCCCAACAACAGACATCCACTCCAAGCCCGCCCGCACTACCACTCACTCGACGACCCTAAATGCAGTCACTTCCTTCCTGTCACGTGCCTTCCCTGCACTATCCTTACACCGGCCCTCCCTCGCCTCTCCTTCCTCCCTCCATCAGCCCCCACCCCACCTCCCCTCGAAAGTAGGAACGCTTCTTCAGGGCATGGCTGTGCGCCCTCCCTTTCCGCTAGCGAGCCAGAGCCCCTCCCTCCAAGAAAGACCGGAACGCCAAGAAAGAGGCCCCCTGCCGAAGGGGATGGTAGTTTTGTTTGTCTTCTGGGCGTACGTGCAAGGAGGGCATTAGACTCCATTCAGAGATAATGAGAGAGTTTTATTTGTGAAGTGCATGTTTCAGTTCCACATTAGTTCTTATTCTCTAATAACTGTCATTCTGTGTCCTTTTCAGGGACACCTTTTTGCCTTAATTCAGAAACTGATCCCTTTACTACCAGCTTTCTTTCTTTTTGGCAGATGAAATTCCAATGATATCAACCATCCTGAAAGATCATTAATATCGAGCATGAGAGCGAGAATGGAAGTCATTATTCTCTGACAGATCATCCATTCTTGCCTAATAGTCAGATTAGATACTGTCCACTGCTAGTGATTCCAGTCGAATGATGCCCTCTCATTCGAAGGTTCTTGGTGTCACCTGGGTCCATCTGTCCACAATACAGCTGCATGTATAATCCACAGTCTAGAAACTTTTCTCCTTTGTGGTTCTGCTGGCACCTGCATGATTCCATTTAGTCACTATTTACCTCTCAGATTCTTATGGCAAAAGTCTGTTCCAGCACCCAGGCCAGCATGGTTCAGTGGTTGAGCATCGATCTATGAACCAGGAGGTCACAGTTGGATTCCTGGTCAGGGCACATGCCCAGGTTTTGGGCTCAATCCCCAGTGTGG